ACCTGGGGTCATTTTCCGCTGTTCCATGTTTTAGAATTTCGGGTAATTTTCCAATCATTCTGCCATTCTGCCATTCCACTGTTCTGACTTTTAGGATCACCCTTCTAATAAAAGGGATTATTTAAAAAATTCACTCCATTGTTAGAATAAATCTGCTGGATAATTCTGCAGGATTCTTTTTGTGGATAATTCTGGCAGATTATTCTGCTGGATAATTCTTCTAGATTATTCTGCTGAATTATTCTTCTGGATTATTCTTCTGAATTGTTCTTCTGGATTATTCTTCTGTATCACTATTTTGGATTATTCTACTGGAGAAGGATGTGATGAGATGGAATAATAGATTTTGAAATCTATTGATTTTATAAATTAGTTTTCAGTTTCTCAGTTCAATAAAATGTTGGTCGCTAACAACTCATAGCACGCACAGAATGTCAATCTTTTCATCAATAATGATATGCTGAAAATACATTCATTTGGTAACAATTCTAAGATGAAGTGAGCTCTTCATCATACATTTCATGAAACTGCAGTAGACACATGATTTTCATATATACAAATTCATTGATGAGTTGTATTTATGTTTTGTTCTTTAGACAGAGTGATGAGCATCTTGATAAAGATTGATGGCATAAATTCTTGAAAGCATAATTTAAATTAAGGTAGGACTGACTTTTTACATATTTCAAAATGCCTTGGCAGTAAAACTGCCACAAATGTGTTGAAATCCATATAATTGTTAATAATGAATATTTTGGATCAATATTACACTGGTATATTTTGAAAAACCTTTGCTCTGCAATGAACACTTCTGTTTACCTTGTAACTCCCAAGATCTCATGGGTAATTCTCCTTACCCTCCGCCATACAATTCTGATGATGTTGCTTTGGAGAATTTGATATTGGATCAAATCCCCTAACTGACATTTTTCTTTATTCTCACCGCTTGTCTTCTTTATGTTGATGTTGTAAGGAGAAATTCTGTCTTGGTCACTCATTGGAGTTCAAGGGTTAAAGGAAAGGTAATATTTCCCTCACATATACACAAAGTTTAAACAGCCTGGAGACCTGTACAACATTTTTTCCTCAACAGAGGCTATGAAAAGGGAGTTTGTCCAGAGATTGAACAAATAAGAACAGTCAAGTTTACAACAACTGTTTTTGCCTTTGTCTTTGGTGGTCAGTTTGGTTATGGAATTGTAGATGACAGCTTTCAACGACACAACCAGTTGACCGTGTATGAATCTGTAATGCATGCTCAGCGTCGCTACCATGCATCTGTAGTTGTGGGATTTGTTAAGTATGGATGGCGCTGGGGATGGAGAGCTGGTGCCTTTGCGGGTGTTTACAGGTGAGTGGTGTGGGAGATACAGTGACCTTAAAGTCAACACACTAGACTCTGCAATGAGAGGTATTAGTTTGAGACTTGGCCAGGCAATTGTGCTGTATTATTGAAGAGACGCTTTACTTTTACAGTGCTTCTCTACACCCAGGAGAATAAAGGGGTAGGGGTTAACTGTCAGGGAAGCCTGACAAAATGTTGCAGGTTAATTAATCTAGGATGGACTGGCATCCCTTCCAAGTTTGAGTAGCAATACTATTAGTGGCTTAGTGCTATGGAGCACCACTTGGCTCAAGTAAACACTTTATTTCTAAAATTTCCAAAGTCAAGACTGGATATTCAGAAGACTTGTGGTCAGTTCATTGGACTTAGATTTGAGAGGTCTAAATTGCAACCCAAACCAAACCATTGTGGTGTGTTCCTTGGAAAGATCATGTACCTCTGTGTACCTCAAGAGTTCAAACAGGTTGCAGAAAATTGTTAGAAGGGGTCTACCTGCATGTATCCCATCCAGGGGGGGGAATGGTAGCACTCATTGGCACTTCTTGCTGTAGTAACAGTTTTAAGTTCTAATGGTGTAAGTTAGTGGGTTCAAGAGCAGACTTGACATTTCTGTTGATAATTATTATCACAATTCGAAGAGCAATATTCAGTTGATTTTCAAAGAAAATATGAGATTATAATGGTCTCACTTCACTTGAATCTTCTTGAATTAATTAGAGAGACCTTATACCGCCCACACCCAACCTCCCCTGAGACAAATTCAAAATTACAAAAATAATCAAAATCACAAGGTGGTCCCTAATAGATAGTTCTATTCTAATATTTAAAGAAATAAAATGTTTCAGGTTTAGTTAAAATGAAAAAATATAGAAATTATACTTTTTTTACATTTAAATGTAGCTTTCTTATGATAGCACTGGACGCTTATCGCAACACTGATGCACTGAATTTTATGGCCAGTGGAGGTAAGTCTGGAGATTGAAAACACTCTATTTGGTACATACACAATACTTAGTTTGTAAAATTTCTTTTCTCAGAATAAAAAGTCATAATTCGATTAAATCTGTAATGAAAACATTTTGTCACTTTTAAAGCAGATTATCAATCA